GGCGCGGCGGCGAGGGGGCGGGCCAGAGCCCCGGACTCACGCCCGCCCCGCCCCGCCCCGCCCCCGGGTCCCCAGGCTACCCCAATGAGGCGGCGGCCGAGGTAGTGCTGGCCGCGCTGCGCGAGTGGCTGGAGCAGCACAAGGACAAGGTGAGTCCCGGGCGCAGTTGACGGGCCCGGGGTGGGGTGGCGGGGCGCATCCCGGCCCCGCTGACCAGCCCTGTCAGTCGTCGCTGAAAGCGAGGCTGCGCCGCCCCCTCCGCATCCCCTCTCCTTCCCTGGGCTCCTGCTTCCCTGCCCGGGGCCGGGCTGGGCGCGCCCCTTGAGCCCCTGCTGTGCAGGGTGTGGCGTGAGCGCTGCTCAGGGCGGGCGGGCGCCCCAAAGGCAAGGCAGGGGCGGGGGCCGTGAGGCCGAGAAGCCCAGGCTGAGCAGGCCCTGGCGCAGGTGGACCGGCTGATCATCTGCGTGTTCCTGGAGAAGGACGAAAGCATCTACCGGGAGCGGCTCCCCCACTACTTCCCCGTGGGTACGTACCGCGGCGCCCCGCTCACCAGCGCCCCCACATCCACCCCCGCCCCGGGCAGGGTCTCACTGTCCTCTGCCTTCCAGCCTGACGGTACCCGCCACCCACCCTGCCCAGGACTGGTAAGCCGGGCCTGGCCCGCGTGTGGCTGCCCACTAACCCGCCCACTAACACGCGCGCACCCTCCGTCCGCTCACCCCCACGCAGGGAAGCCAGGGGGGCAGCCTGGGAGGCTGGGGGAACCCACCGCCGCCTGACCTCTTTGCTCCTTCCACAGACTCGCCTGGGCCCGCCGGACCTCGCTCCCAGCTCTAAGAGGGCACCGAAGCCTGCAGCTGGGCCTGGACCTGGCCACCCCCTTCTTCCCCTCAGCCCCCTGCCCCCAGAAGCCGTCTAATAAAGACCACCCTTGTTGCAGCTCCCACTGTCCGGCCCTGGCTGGGGGTGAGGGAGGCAGCCCCAGGGTGTGGACAGGTGCTTGGGCTTCAAGGGGCCGGCGGGAGCTCCAGGAGCCAGGCAGGGGAGGCACGGCCTGACGGCAGAGGTGGGCAGCAGCACTTCACATTTATTGAGGGCCTGCCCCCAAGGAGCTCACAGCCTGGGGGCCGAGACCCCACGTGTGCTGGGATAGGGGAGAGAGAAGAGGTGAAGGCAAAGGCAGGCAATGCAGGGACACGGTGGCCCAAGCAAAGGGGTGCAAAGCAGGCCTAGGCAGGGGACCGGGGGGGGGGGGGGTGCGGGCGGAACCAAGCACAGGCTGGAAGGCTGCCCCACCCCACCAGGCTGGCACCACCTGGGGGTGCACTGGGGGTGCCCCAGCTCCTCCACCTGCCCTGAGCCAGGCCCCCCAGTATGTCAGCCCTCTCTACCCCAGACTCCTCAACCATGCAGACCGCTGATGGGGTCTGGGGCCCTGGCCTGAAGAGCAGAGTGGAGGCGCAGCCTATGAGGGGCAGCTTGAAGCCTTGGTGCTCCTGGGTCCCTGGGCAAGTCCCCAAGAACTTCCAAATTCCCATGGAAGCCCCTGGGCCAGCTAAGGAGGGAAGGGGGAAGGCCTGACGGGCAGGAAGCAGAACCCCACTAACCAGGAGAGCTCCCCAAGAAGCTTAGCCCCCTCAAAACTGCTCCTGGCAGGGAGGCTGGGGGTGGCCAGGTGGAGGGCCAAGAGGAACCCACCTGGGGGGAAGGGGGACAGCTAGACACACAGCAGCCAGGCGGGCAGCAGAGCAGGGACACGCACACACGCGCCTCACCACCAGCATCCCCTTTAATAAAACACGGAAGGTTGTGTGACAGGGAGGGGGGAGTGAAATATGACCATTTACAACCACAGAAAAACCTCTGTACATGTCTAGCGCCTGGCAGAGGGGGCAGGCAGGGCAGCGGCGGGCCGGGCCAGCCCTATTTGTAGAGGATGTCGTAGTGTCCAGGCCGGTAGAGAAGGTAGACCTTGGGCTCGGAGCCCTCGGGGAAGATGTGCGGGTTGGTGGTACCGCCCTCACCGCGGTCCATGTACTCCACCTGGATGGAGACGCTGAGGGCCTGCGCCAGCGCGATGATGTGGATGTGGTCGCTCTCCTTGCACATGGGCTCCACCTCCTGCGGCAGGCACGGGCCGGTCAGGGCCCAGGGCCCGGTGCCCAACCCCCGCCGCCCCACCACTGACCCCACTGCTTCCCCGACCTGAGGCAAGGAGAGGGGTCCCAAGTCTGAGAAGTGGGGCGGGGCGCACCTGCTGGCAGAACTCCTTGACCGTCCGCCCGCCCTCGATGAAGTGCTCGAAGAACTTGCTCTCGCGCTGCAGGTAGCCCGAGGTGAGCAGCCGCAGGTAGACCACCAGGTAGTCCGAGGTGCTCTGGTCGTTGAAGGAGGCCAGCAGGTCGGCCACTGAGGTCTGCTTTTCCACCTGCTCGATCAGGTCCATGAACTGCCGCCGCGGGGGACAGAGGGCCAGATGACGGAAGAGACGGGGCCACCCTGCCATGGCCAGGCCACCCACCGCCCACGCTCCGCCCTGGCTGAGCGGGCCACAGGCCGGCTGGGCTCACCGTGTTGTGGAAATCCTCAATTGTGAACTCGGTGAAGCCCTGGGACACCAGGTCCTCTTTGCTCTTGGCAGACACAGCCTTGAACCTGCGGTGGGAGGGCAAGGGAGGCGGGCATGGGCTCCTCAGCCAGCCCAGGGGAGGCAGACGGGCCGGCACTGGGAGCCCCCACCCCCAGCTCAGAAGAGAAGCCCCCAGCAGGAGCCCAGCCTACCGTCTGGCCTCAGGTGGCACAGCAGCTCCTAGCCACCCAGAGGGAGGAGGGAGCCCCCGCCCCTCACAGAGCCCACGCCCACCCTCTCTGTGCCCAGCGCCCGCCCTCCTCACCGCTGCAATTCCTTGCTGTCGTCCAGCAGCGCCTCCAGGTGGGAGAAGCCGAAGGCTCGATAGAAGCAGTTCCCATCAGGCCTGGTCTTGCGGATGTACGAGTACTTTTTGTGGAGGTCCTGCAGAGAGGCAGCCCCCACCCACCCCCCTGCCCATCAACACCAGGCCAGAACCAGGGTGGGCCCAGGACCCCCCCCCCAACAAAGGTCACCTCACAGCATGTGGCAGCCGAGCTCCAGGCAGCCACCTGCCATCCTTGGCTGCTGACTCTGGTGATGGGAGTCACTTAGGGACCCACAGGAAACTATGACTTAGGGACACACTGGTTGCACGAGTCGCCAAAGTAGTCACCAGCCACTGGGCCTGCCATGCTGCCGGCCTGCAGGGCTGTCTGTTCATTAAAACGGGCAAGCAAATGGGTCCCTGACCAACCCAGCTTTCCCAGTGACCCAAGTCTTTTCAAACCATGAGGGCTCAAAGGCGAGCAAGTTAGGGTGCAGGGTGCACGCCGGGCTCCACACTGCTCGTCTGAGGGCCCCACTGCACAGCCCAGGGGCGGGAAACAGCCTCCCTCCGTCTCCTTCTAAACTCTACCCTGCCCGCTCGCAGGTACCATCTCCAGTCCATCTCTTCCAGTTTCCTCCCCAAACTCCATGGAATTTCTTCTGTCTGTCGGACCTCCCCACACAGTGTGCCATTAGTGCCGCCTGGCCTGGGCACCCTCCCCTTTTCCCCTACGGCTATTTCATACCTTTTCCATTCTCTTTGACCCCACCCGTCTTCCTGATGACTTGGCTTCCTTCCTAACTGAGGACTTTTGCTGAGAACCCCTCTGCCACCACCAGCACGCTCGCCCTTGGCCTTCTCTCCTGATCCCCGGAGTGTCTGAGGCTGCCACCAGAGCCGCCCTCGGCTCCGCACCAGAGGCCGTCCCTCCCTTGGGCTCAAGGACGTGGTTCCAGGAAGTCTCCCCCTCCCTATTGGTTTAGACCCAAAAGCATATAAACACAAGGCTAGTTCTCACTTAAAAAAAAAAAATCCTTTGCTTCACATGAATTCCTTTCCAAGTCCACCCAATTGCTCTGCTCTCCTTTCCTTTACAGCAACTTGTCTCCATTCTCCCCTGTGAACTCAATCCAGGCAGGCGCTTACTCTCGTCAGGTCACAGACACCCTCCTAAGTCTGAGGGTCAAGCCCACTCCTCTCCAGACGGGCCCCTCGGCAGCATCCACCCCACGCCACCACCCACCCCGAGACACCACCACCAGGCCCTCCTCCTCCATACTTGCCTTCACGGCCTGCACACCCCACGCTTTCTGCTTCTCCTCTTACCTCACTGCTGCTGCCCCTCATCTCTCTAACCTGTGACGGGGGGCTGCCACCAAACCACAGAGCACCCTTCCTCAGACACCGTGTGTCACCCGCCGGACGATGGTCATGCCACACACCCCTCCCCAGTGCACGACCCTGCTCAGGCCTGGGACAGCTTCCGCTTGTTGCCTAGACTCACTCTCTTGATGGCACGGGTCTTGGGATTTAAAGAGCCCCAAGTGTAACTCTTCGCCTGCCTGGATCTCAGCCCTCAACTCCAATCTCCACCCACACGTCCAACTGCCTCGCCCACACCTCCTCTGAACTGCCAGCCCCACACGCGGTCCTGACCTCCCCACCCCCTGCTCCTCACAGCCTTAACCCATTAACTGCAACCCCGCCTTTCAGCTGTTCAAGCCCAAACCTCAGTCACCGCCCGCCGGATCCTCCCTCACCACATCCAATCCACCACAAACCCTGAGAGCTCCATCCTCACCACATCCAGGATCCAACCTTTCCACCTCTCAACTCACCGCGCTGCCCCACCCACTCCTGCCCCCACCTGGCCGCTCAGTCTATTCCCACCCCGGCCGCCAGGCACCCGAGAAACCTGCTACTGCTCCGCATCTCCCTCCAGTCCTTTCTCCAGCTACAGGGTCCCCTCGTCTCCCCCTCTCCTGCTCCAGCCACTCTGGCCTCCATGCCGCTCCTCAACCTGGCCAGCCCACCCCTGCCCGGGCCTCAGCCTGCACTGCTCTGCCCAGGCGGCCACGACCTGCCCCCTGGCCTCTCAGTTCATCACTCAAACGCCACCCTTCACGAAGCACTCTATTTAAACCTGCCAACCTCCCTACTCCGTCTCCTGGTCCTGCCTCGCCTTTCCCCCAGCACTGACCACCTTCCCACACACACATTCCAGTGACCTCTGGTTTCCTATCTGGCCACCAGGACCTGTAAGCTTCCCGATGGCAGGAGCCTGTCGGCTGTGGTCACCGCTCTATCTCCAGTCCCTACGACAGTGCCAGCCCACAGTATGTGCTGGTAAGCGTTAAATCAACAGCACACAACTGGTACAAAGAGCCCAAGTCTCCGTGGCCACCAGAACCGCTACCAGAATCATCCTGAGCACTTAGTCTGTGCCAGGCCCTTCATGAGGGCTAACGCCCATTATCCGGTTCATCCTCCCAGGGACCCAGTGCACAGAGCAGCAAAGTCACCCAGCTCTGTTTGGGCCGCGGCTCCTCCTGGGAGAAAAGGTGGGCTCAGGCCCAGCACAGAGTGGGGGTGCTGGGGGCACTGAGGCAGAGCTCCTGCACAGACAGCACGTAGGGGACACTCGAACATTCACTGAAGGACGCGATGGGAAGAACCTAAGAGGCCCATCTGTCGATTTTACCAAGGTGGCCTAGTGTGACAGGAAGGCCTTGAAATGGGGCCCCACTCTGCTAACCTGCCACATAGGGAAGAGGAGGGACCCGCAGCTTCCTAAGGCTGGGCTGTGCGTGGGTGCCAAGCTCAGCCCCTGGCCACCGTCAGCTTCAACCTCACACTCACCCTGTGAGGCCAACGGAGGCTCCAAGCAGTTCAGCGCGTTGCCTAAGATCACAAAGCTGGAAGTGAAGCCAGCCCTCGAACCCACTTCTGTTGGGCTCCAGAGCCAGTGCCTCATCTCTCCACCGGCCTTCGGGGTAAATCACCGAGCAAGGGGTCAGAGTAGACCACAGGCCACACACA